TACTTACTTTCATTTCTGGCTAAATATAGGCAAAATGTTTATTTAGAATTATGTATTGTGTTCAATTCTACTTGCTTTGTCCCTCCTTGACTATTTTACAGAAAGAATACAAAACAAAGCAGTCGCAACCACCACCACCCACCACCCCCCCCGCATGCTCTCTTTATGGGCTGCTTCTATTCAAAAAAGGGAAAAAAAAAAAAATGTTTGTCTCATGTTAGTCAAGTACTATAACAACAGTTTCAGGCCTGTGGCTGAAAAGCAATGTAGCAATGTGGTGCGAAAGAGAAAATAAGTAGAAGCTGCAATATTCTGCAGAGTTTTCAGCTCCGTTTCTTTTATCCTGCAGTGCGCAGGGTACGGAGGTAAGGAACTCCTTCCTTTGCGCTGGAGCTGCGCAGGGCGTTTGTCTGCGGTGCTGGAGGCAGAGGGGCCGTGCTCGGGGCAGATGCTGTCATAGGTGCGGTTCCAGGATGAGCTGGTCTTTTGTTTGTGAATGTGGTGTTTTTCCTGACGTTTTGGTAAAGATGCCTGAAGATTGCCTCTGTTGATACTGAGGATGCAAACTAGGAACTTTATCTCCAAGGGCTAGCAGAGTTCAGTAAATCATGCTAGAGAGAAGCAATGTTGTTTAAGTCTCAAAGACACAACGTATGGATCGTGTTCAATGTCATCTTCACCTGGGTACATTACCAGTACTGCTGTCATCACTACCACGGTTACACAGCCTCTGGTGGGCAGCTGCAAGGGTTTTTTAGAAGCAACCAGCAGGGCCAGTTACAGGTTGGGATTCTGCTTTGGCCTTCGTTCTTACGTGGTGGATACCTGGGTCTTGGGTCAGGTTTCTGTTCCATGATACTGGGCTCATCACTGATGCAAATAATTCGTGGTATTTCTAAGGAATGGCAGGAAGCTCATGTGTACTGCCTTTGCTGCATGTCTATTGAAAGTGTATGATCTGTTGCACACGCATACATATATAAAAAAAGCTATCTAGATACATACAAAAAGTATACGTATGTACACTCGTACACACCAGTAGCAAGCTCTGTAGCCAAGGCTTTTTGGAAACTTGTCAGAACTGTTTGAACTATTAAATTTAATACTTTTAAAAAAAAAAAAAGCTAAATCTATGAAGCAAAATCTTTGACACCTTTTCAGATGATGGCCAAGGAAAATGCAGGGAGGTTAAGGGCCTTTACTAATGGTTTGCTGTGGGATCATAAAGGAAACAGCGTGCAATATATAGCATTCTACAAGGAGAAATCCCAAAACGAACAGGCAATTTAGCGAGAGCCCTTCAGTGAGGGAACCTCACCAAAAAGCAGTTTTAGGCTGGAGTTCAAGGACATCAGTGGGACAGCACCTGGGACCGCTCTGTCCTGCTCAGAAAACGGTTTCGGAGAGATTCATCTTTTTCCCCTTGAATTTCTGCCTTGTCTCTCTCCCACAGTCTGCTTGTGACTTCTTGATTAGACAGGCAGCTACCACCGGTGTGACAGAAGGGTAGGAAAAGGACGCTGAAAAGGTGCAAGTCTGTCTGTCTGTCTGTCTGTCTCTGCAGCGAGACCCTGGCAAACGTGCCTCTGGTGAGGAAGAGCAGGGTCTGCTGTGTCCAGGAGAATCGGTGGGGTGGCCGGCCAGGGGGCGAGTAACGCCTGCAGTGATTGAACATTTACTGTTGGCTGCAGAGTAGTTGTTGAAATGCCTTGTTTAAAATAAAGACAAATATTTTCTGGGGGTTGGTGCTGCAAAGAACGGGTTTATGAAGTTAGTGCTACTTGTTTGCCAACTGAGAGGACACAGAAGGTTTGGGGGCTCTTTTTTTGTTTGCAGTATGGTTGGTCCCCTCTTGCCGAGGAAGTACATACCTTTGTGCTGCTAGGAACGTGCATGGGCATTTTCACAAGTATTTTTTTCATTATAAATTCCTCTCTGCAGCTTTTACTTAGCTAAGTGTCAGTGCAGAGGGGATATTGTAATAAATCAGTTGCTAGCATGCAAATGCAGTTTGTTCTTCTGCTTAAATAAAAAAAATGCTTTTGCAGAGTATATTTAGACTGGGGGGGGGGGGGGGGGGGGGGGTGGTGTTTATCAAAAGGCATTAACTTTGCATTTCATACCAAGAATTCCAAAGCCCCTAACTCTTATCCCAGAACAGGTTTAAACGGAAGATAATCTGCAAAGGATGGTTAGCATAAATTATATTCTTCAAAGTTAAGTGCTATATAAAAGGAAAAGTTAATCCTTGAAGCTAATTTTTATTCTGGGTATTAAGTCAAGAATGTTCTTCTGAACAGATTTTAGTCATGTTTTTTAATAGGTTATCAACTAGTGTGTGTGTTTTTAATAAAAATGTGATTTCTGTAATAAACTGTATTTGTAATCAACTTGCATCCACTTTGTTTCTAAGTCTATTTTAATCCAGAACTTAACTGATGAGAGGCCTCCTATGTTTGGTTTCAGCCATCTTGTTATTTATTTAACTGACAGTCTGACTCAGAAGAATTTTCAGCTTCACCACGATTGCACAAGGACAGGAAATGGCGAAGTCTTGAAACTGTGGCAACTTAAGTAAGTTCAGGTATTTCATAATCCCTTAGCCTAGAAACGTACCCTTCTGCCACTGCACTGTCACCCTCCCAAACACCTCATTGCTTTCAGCCCTGGGAAGCTGTAACACAGGAGGAACTTTTAAAACCTTACGTGGTTAAAAGCCTTCTACAACACTAGCTCCTCACAAAGAAATTCTCTGGGTTTTGTTTATGTATAAATTTTGTGATTCCCAGATTTACATAATGAACTAGCAACAAGTAATAAGGATTATCATCCTTAGATGTAAAATGATTAAAGTGGTAATTCCAGTAGCATGCAAGAACACTTAAGCATAAAGGTCTTTACAAAATTGAATATTCATTATTTGTTATTGCATCTCTTTTGCCTCAGATTTGTGGGAATTTTGTTTTCTTCTGTTGTATGAAACAAAATCCATTTCCTACTATAATCTGCAAACATGACCTAACACACCTTCCTTGCTGTGCAAGCATCGTGGCTGTCAGCGATGCCCTTGTCCCTCCCTGCAGCCACTTCCAGGGCAGCTCTCAGTCTTTAAACAGAAGAGGAGGATGCTACGAGAGGCTGTGGGGCCTGGCGATGACTTTCCAACTCGCTGTCTCTTGCGTTGTTGCCTGATGATCCCCTCGGCTATTTCTGGGTCGGCGCCAGGGTGGTTTTGCCAGTTACAGTTCTGAAGTACAGACAGCGCTGTGGCGCTGTTTTCATCACACTGCATCATCCCTGCAAAATGCTTTAAAGCAACCTTTTTTGATGACTGTTGATGCACCTACAACCTTGGTTACTTTTACAGGTACTGTGGATGAGGAGATTTTTATTATTCAAATGGCTTTGCAGACATTTTACTGTGGGCCTGTCCACCCCAAAACAGACAGCCCTGGCCTGGAAGGGCGATGGTTGGACAGGTCCAGCTGAGTAAGAGCCAGCCCTTCCCGCTCACACTGAGCTGCAGCAGACTCTGGTTAGGAAAGAGCTGTGCTGTACCTGGACTGTCTGACATGTAAGTAACTTATTATTAGACACCTCTGAGACAGGAGGCAATATTATCTTCCTCCAGACATAGATCTGGTTTCACAACTGTAGCTAAAATTCAGGTTACACATTTTGCATTAAATTCAGATTAGTTTTTTGAATTAGAAATCATCCAGAACAGCATTGCACCTAAAAAATTGAAAAATCATTTGATTTATTTGTTATATTTACACATTTGTCTTTGAGCTAAAATTTGAACTTTTTTTGGAATGTTTTTGTGTAATCAACTCTAGTTTTAGCCCTTCAGACCTTTTAACTATTTTAATAAAATAACTTTTTCCCTTAGCCCGGTAAGTATATCAGTGTTAAAAGTTCAACTATACAAAGTGCCTAGAAAAGCATTCAGCTCATTAATTGGTCACTTCAAATTTCTTCCAAATCTTTCTTAATCAAGTCTTGTAATAAATAAATACTAATACCAACATGACAATGCTGTTTTTTTCAAATTGTTCATTTGCCAGTTTTAACACGGTAAAGAAAAGAAATGAATACTTAATGTCCACATTGTTTTTGATTTAAAAAAAAAAAAAAGAACCAAACCAAAAAAGGAAGACAGAAAGGAACATACATGGAATGATGAAAAGGAACAATGATATTGCACAACTTCAGGTCTCTCTTCCCAGATTTTGATCCATGTAATTAGGTATGTATGAATTCAGCAAAAAAACCCAACTGTGTCCAGATAAACGCGTAGCAATTGGAGTGAATCTCTAGAACTGGAGACTGCTTTCAATTCCTCCTGACTGCTACTTGGAGTTCTTCTCCAAGAGAGCAGGTTGCTGTCAGCTGTGAGAATAAATAAATAAATCAACGTATTGATTCTACATTTTGCTGACCAACCCTTCAAAAGTTATCTGTAACATGCACAATTCTTCTATAGTGTATTTACACTAAGTCTTAGAAATACTTAGGTCTTTAAACGCAACTTGTATCAAGTGCTCAAACTAGGTATGAAAAACAGTCAAGAATGTTCCCTGATTTGCTGTGGTTAACTTGAGATTGCATCTCATTTTGCAACACCCGGACTTTGCAATGGATCAGCGGTGCAGTGAATGTATAAGTCACAGTAGGGTAAGTTAAGGAGGAAAAAAAAAACAACAAAAAACTAAAACAAAAACATGCTAAGTGGATAAAAGGTCTTCACAGCTACAGTCTTTGTTAGACCATCTCTTAACAAGCACATACTGTTTGCTACAGAAATTAGCTAATTGTGTCATTCTGGCTATAGCAGTACTGTTTTCCCCCTCAACTGCTAGTATGACAGCATGTGTTTATATAAATTTTGCATTTATGTGCAGAACAAAATATATTTTTTTTCATATCTGACTTCATATCTGCTTGGGGGGACTGATGCATCAGCCAGCAGGGCTTAACAGATACATTTAATACAGGAGATTGAGATACAGTATGTTTATTCTTAACTTCAGATAACCTAAGAACTACAAGAACGAGAGATGCAGTATCCATTTGCTATGATCAGAGACAACCATTTTTAGGGAGAAAAGAGCAGAATAAGTGATCAACACTAACGCTACATTAGTTCCAAGTATGTTGTGTTTTTTCAGTCATGGTAACTTAACTATTGTCCATCTAGCCCACTTTTAACCTGATCAAGTTAAAGGTGACGAAGTTTAAGGACTGTTGTTTCATCAAAACCGAAGCAACTTATAAACCCCACAAAACCATAAATTCACTGTAGGACTTGTTTCGTATCTTCATATTCCGCATCACTTGTAGAAAAGGGATAATGCATCTCGGTTTGCTTACAAGCTAGGAGATCACTTTGAAGTCTGCATATTCCTAACTGCAAACAAAATATAGCACTTTTAACAGGTTATAAATAAACTGGTTTTCAAGCATAGAGCCAGCCCAACAATAACAATACACTATTAAAAAGACCTAAGGCAATGAATTCCATCTCCAATGGAAAAAGAAAAAAAAAGGGAAAAGAAAAAGAACTGTGCAAACAAGCTTAAAACTATTTCTTTGTGCCAGTGTTATAAAATGTAGATTTCAATAAAGCCTTGACCCAAATGCCAGGACTTGTGAAAAGAATCAGAACAAAACTGGTTACTTTATTTAGGAAAAAAATACTCTTACCTTGCTGCTAATAAAATTGGATACACGCAGTTTAAACATTTACAGTTGCTGTAACACTTTACACAATTCCTATATAGGGGTGTAAGAACAAACATTAAAAGACAATGGTGGGTCAAGGCTTTACATTAAAAATAACAACCTACTTTTCTATAGTCTCTAAAATACTATTTTTTTTCAATATTTGCAGCCATTCAGGAATATTTTTTTTATTTATTAGGAAACGTATACTTTGTGCATGATCTTAATTCCTAATTCCTGGCTCTTTGGGCTGAATGACAAAAGGATCAAACCCATTAAAGTGGATGGTCTCCTTGACGGTTCAGTGGAGAAACCCTGGCTCAGTTAGTCTCGTATGATGAAAGCAGTGCTGCATCCACTGGCTCCATGCAGGATGGACAGGTAAAGGATCTCATCAACCAGTCATCTATACAGTCCAGGTGGTAAATGTGCATGCACGGCAGAAATCGGATAGGGTCCCCATAAACAAAGTCCATCATACAAATGACACATCTGGGGAAAGAAAAAAAAAAATCTTAAATATATTTAAGCAGCTGCTACTACATTGGAAATGAAAAGCAGTGTAACACCTACTCCTGGCTACATATGAGCCAAACAAACTTTTAATGCTTGTAGATCCTGTGAGTTCTTAGCTTGGTGGTGCTTCCTTTGCAGAATACATGCCCATGGCTACAACATTAGGGAGGGCAGGAAGCCACCTGTAGGCATGGCAGGGCTCAGCAGAGTGCCCAGCATCAGCAATGGTAAAGGGGAGCCACAAAGGTGAGGAAGTAACAAGAAATTACTTCCCTGTGAAGAGAGGATATAAAAGGGAAAAAAAAAAAAAAAAAAAACCAACCACAACCCAAACTTCTAAGGGCATGAATGACACAAAAATAAGTTTCACTTGTAACAGGAGAACAAGTGAGGATACAGGGCAGAGCCTTCTGCACGGTCATTTTTTTCGGTAAGCTACATTAAATTACACTCTCTGAAAATAAAGCAGAAACAGGAGGGCAAGGTCAGGTTTCCCAGACTGTATCATAAACCCACACAGCAGCCCCATTAGTTCAGCTGCGTTTCTGATACTTACTCTCGGATCTTCTTCTCGGAGCCATCTCTTCCAGGATCATAGACTCCTTTAGGTAGATGCTGAATAAGGCCTATCCTCTGCGCTATTCTGATTTGTTCCTCTTCTGTCAGCTGCGTTGCTAGCCGAGTCTGGCTAGGAGTTGGGTGATAAACAGGAACAGGGACCTGCTCCTAAAATTAAAATAGCCCAGTTAAAAAAAAGCACAGAGGTTTTCCTAGCACAGTACAGGCAACGTATTTAACTTTTCCTCTCTTAGTCTTACAAATGTCAGTATGATCTCCCACTCCTACTTTGTAACTTTGGGGCTGTAATTATATTGAGAATGGGATAAAGAATTGAGGCCAGTATCTTGAGCAAGCAGGCTGCAGGAGCGTGCGCAGCTGCACCACAGGAAGCGCTGATGCGGTCGGTACGCATCACCTCTGACAAAGTTCCCTTTACTGAACTCCCGCTGGCTCGTCGCCGATATGGGGAAGACGTGGGCTTTCACTGGCTGCGCCAGAGCAACCACCTTCTGAAACAGGCATGCTCTCGCAGAGCATGGACTGCTCTGGGTGGGCAACGCCGGGTATTTCTGGCAGCAGGAACGCAGCTGCGTTCCCCTCTCCCGTTCCCTTCTTTGCCTTTTGGCCCGCTCCGGCAGTGGTCTAGTGCAGTGTTCAGCTGACACCAACACCTGGCAAAGTCCAGATATGGGGCTTAGCACATGTAATACCACGCGTGTAAAACCCGATAAAGCCGTTCTTCGGTCGCTGCTAGGCTTTCCTAGCCTAGTCCAGGCAGGACTCCTGGAAGGCTGGGAGAAAGCGGCTCAAGGAGCGCACAGCCTCTCGCTGGCCGGTGCCAGGGGTGCCCAGCAGCAGAAGTCCTTGCTTACGCGGAATAGCAAATCAAAAATACAAGTCTACCTGGCAATTCTGCTTTTAACACAGTGCCTACCCCTTGCAGTTCAGCTGTGGGGGAAAAATTGAGTCTTCTCTTCATTTAGCTACACTAGGATTTCCCCCTCTGCTTTCCTAGCAGAACTCAGGAATTCTGAGAAGCTTCAAAAGACAAAATGCCAGTTCTCTGAGTTTGATTAATTTCCTGACTAAACTGTATTTCACAGAATCACAGATTTCATCTAGATCAGCTGCCTTTTAATGGTTTAAATTACCTAAAGTATTCTCTAATCATTGTTTGGAAAGGGAAAAGCACTGGCTGAAGCTAGGGGTGACCTGTCAGATACAGCAGTATTCGTGGAGTGGCTCTGCAACCTTTGGTGCCAGCAGATTAAAGCATTTTTTTCCCCTCCCAAATGCCGCAGACCCTCTGCACTGATCACAGAGCCTGGTCCTGGTTTAATGTTTTGAGTGCTTAACACCACAAACTATCAGTAACTTTTTTTGTCCCCCCAAGGCTTTGCTATACTTCTTTGAAAAGATCATTAAATCGATAGCAGAAGACATTCCCGCTGTCCCCTGTATTTCTTACAAAGACATACAGAACACTTAGCATTTGAAGAGAGATGCACCCTCCTTCCCATCGGGGGGGGGGCCAAAAAAAAAAAAAGGCAGTATAACTAACCCCATGCACGGCAGGTTGGTGCTAATAAGGGCAGAAAGAGGGAAGGCTACTGTATTTAATACAGCTGCCCTTGGCAAAACCATGACTGTAAGCGGTGCTGCAGAAATACAAGGAAAGGCAAAAACAGGAGGAGGAAAATAAGATCCAAGAAACTCCCAAAATGTCTGAAAGTAGCAGTGACAACTGATAGTGAATGCCTGTAGCAGACCAACAGCGAACTGATCATCTCAACAGAAATTACACAGCAAAAGGAAACTACAGTTAAGTAGGAATTTGTTGTGAGTTCAACTCATCACCTTTGGACAGCTTTGAAATGAGAACTCGGTCACGCTACCCAACCAATGACTGCTTCGGTTAGGTTTTGGACAGTAAATTAACACAACTGTTAAGCCTGTAATAGGCCAAACAAGAACGAAACTTCATTCCCCTTGTTCTTTTACAGGCGCTTGCGGCGAGTGACCACCGAGGGACTGTGCACTTGGGGAATCCATTTCTGCATTAGTGCAATGCCCCTCTCCCGTGGGTGTCGTCACCTGAAGAAGAGGAGCCTGAGAGACGCCCAGGCCCCCTGCCCAGGCCAAACACACAAATGCTTTCCCGACCACCAGCGCTCGATGGAAACGTTCCTTTTGGTGTCCTGTCTCAGGTTCCCTCCCCACAGAGCCACCACCCCGCGCTACATGTCTGCCATAACCAATTAAGGCAGGAATTTATAGTTGCCAGCTGTGGGCTTCTACAATTTCATGTACTAGACAAGAATCTCTTGTCAGATGAGTAACTCTGGGTGAAAATGGTGCTGTCTTTCACCATGATGTCTTCGTGCTTGTGAATATTAAAAAAAAAATTGGGGTTGGGTGGCTGCCAAGCTGTTGTGAAAAATGCAGAAATTGTACTACTGTGAATTAAAAAGCGTGACCGCTAAACAAATACGATCCAGTACGCTTCCATAACACGCTGTCTGGTGGTACTTCACTCTCACCTCCCGATGACTGTTAAAAGCCTGCCCAAGCAGAGCTAGCAGCCCACGGGATACAGACACACCAGTAAAATGGAAGAACACAGCCGCACACATTGCGCAGAGTCAAATTATAGGGTACACCAACAGTGACCTTTTCAAACCAGTCCTCTCCCCCCAACAGATGAAAAGAAAAGGCACGTTTAAAATATTTTCAGAATCGTACAGGTATAAACTGTTTATTCATGAGAACAGGAGAGCCCAGACTTCTCTGACTCAGCTTGTTGAAGCAAGAGATGGAGCAGACTGCATGAAGTGTCCCCTCAACTAGCCCCCTGCCCACCACCGACCAGCCCCCCTGGCACGCACCCCGGCTGGCCCTGCACGCAGCCGTCGCCGCAACCGGCAGCTGCATCCTCTGCTTTCTCCACCACCAAATCTCTGAAGCATTTTTGGAAGTTAAGCTGATCCGACATTAATTTCAAGCTGCCTGTAAAGTCAGAGCGCAGCCCTGCCTGTGCGGGTTTATTGCCCCTTTGCAAATCTTGCACAGTTTACAATGGCTAGGACTTACCAACCCACGTTTAAGCAAGTCCTCACTCAGCCCAGCGTGAATATTCAGGGGTGACTATGTGAGGATTCCAGCCTAAAGTCAACTTACATTTGTGGTTAGAGGCCCCCTGACGTGTGTGTGTATATATATATACACACACACACATATACACACACACACAAAAAAAAGATTGTATTACCCAAGTAATTACTATTCTACTCCAAAGACGAGCATGAATTTATTGCTCTTGTGTCTCACTTCTCCCCTCTCTACCATGAAAAATGTTTTTGCAGATAGAATTATGAAACACTGAACTTCTAGCCAAAGTCTCTGTTATTTATCATTTGATAAAGATGTCAGGCATTTCAGATTAAGATGAAATTTCATGTTTACTCCTCCATGCAAAAAAAAAACCAAAAACCTAAAAAGGCCAAAACAAATAATAAACCCCACATATTAGTGTCAGGCAATGAAATAAAAATCACTTTCTAGCACTTAATTTGCTGTAATCAATTTTTTCCCATATGAATTTAGTAATGATGAAACATCCTACATGGCCACAGTCCTGGAGATACACCATTTTTTCTTGTTCACAAAGTACGTGCTGTCAACACAAGTTTCCTTGGCTTTCTGTGCACAGAAATCATTCCTTCCTAATGTATATTGAGCCCTTAAGTAACAGCATTAATTTAGAGTCAGGACTACAGCGGGGTTTGTGTCTTCATCTTACCCTGGCTCCTCCTCTGGGAGGGGGGTGGAGGAAGCCTAGAGGGCATCTGGAGGTCTGCATTTTTCACTTCTAATGAAAATAAACATTTTCACACATGGCTTAAAAGGCCCAGACACTGGGTTTCTGCATGCAGATTCCCACGCACGTTTTGGGTTCTCGCTTGGAAAAAGGAGGTTTCTCATCAATACAACTTACCATGGTTACTTATGCTGCTGTAAATCTGCTTTTCTCTTGTTTTACAGCATTTTCATCTTGTTTTTGCAAGTGCAATGAATTTGTAATACTCTGAAAACAGGTCAGTGGTAGATCAGAAACTCTTAATCCCTGGATAAAGATTATTTTAAGATCCCTCTACGCCACATATCAGCAGTATGTTATCAAGGCTTTTGTTTGTTTGTTGTTTTTAATAATTGCACCAACACGTACCTTCCTTTCGGGAAGGTCAAAGGCGAGATGAATAATTCATAACATCTAATCGTTCCAGAGGTTAGAGCTTCACTGCTGTCCCTGAGATCCTGTCTACAGCCACCTGCTTTCCACTACCCACCGCTTTGCGCAGTTTCCATCTCTAAATTTTCTCCCTCACCTAATCCAACGCTCTCACTGTGTCTCACCCTGGGATATTTATTTGCATTTTAACACCAGATCACCAGCACACCTGTTAATTCAGTCCGACGAAGGAGACAAATGTCCTTCTAGCTACGTTTATCCTATGTCTTTTTTCATTTTTTAAATACCAATAGGTATAGTGCTTACGCTTCTTGCGGTTGCTGCTAATTAATTAATGCAACTATAACAGTGCCATTTGCATTTCCCCAGCCATTCCCACAGCTCTTTTTTAAAATCCCTTCAAAATGCAAATGTCTTTCTTGAAACGCGTTGGCTGAAAGCAGCTGCGCGGGCCCATACACAGCTGCATCATGGCCACAGACGCTTTACTGCTCACCAGCCCTCACACGCTGATCTGAGAAGCGGCCCGGCCCTTCTGCAGCTCTAACAGCTTCCGACATCGCTGCCCGTTACAACACTCATCGGCACCGTACAAATCTTTCAGCCTTGCTGCTTCCCAGTTTTCTCACCTCTAAGGTGAGATGCTTGGCAGGAAGCCCAAATAACTAATCTAGACAAGAACAACTTCAGTTTATAGATTTAAAGTTGGGGGGGGGGAAGGGGGGAAATCATGCTTTTAGGTTGGCTTTTTTTTTTTTTTTTTTTTTCAAAATCCCCAATGAATTTTATGGAATTTTCTCTTCTCGCTACTTTATTACTCATAAGGAACAAGCTGGGATGATGGTCCAGAGGCCTTTTCTGTGAATGCCAATCTGATCTGGGTGAAAAGACTCAAACTCCATCCATATGTGAATACACATTCCGAAATAATATCCTCCCCCAAGACTTATTAATGTAAAACCACTCACCATTATAATGTGCATTATACGACAACTACAGCTTACTTTAATAATCCTTAGAACATTACAAGCAGCCTGCCAACTATAAAAACCTTTTTCTGCCATCCAGAAGAGAACAGTTCATTTATAAAGCTGAACACCAGTTGCTATAAAACACCATGTAATGAAAGCATTACCCAATCTTTTATATTCCTGCTTCCAGGTAGCCAGTCAGTATAAATAACTGCGATAGCTGAACACTTACGCTAGAAAGTTCTTCTGAAAGAAAAATCCCCTCCTCTCACCTCTCCCATTTCGAGGGGACGCCTGGGACAGACAACCAGATCAGACACACGCGTGTGCACGAGAGGAGCCATTCTGGCACAAGTTGGAATCTAAAGCATGGGTTTGTCTAGCAGACCCCATTCACTTCACACTAATACAGTCAGAAAAGAGATTAAACGTTAAATTAACACCGTATTAAGCAAAACTAACTGATCCTTTACCAAATTTTCAAGCATGCCAAAGACTGATTCCCTTTGTTTATGTGAAAAGTATGAAGATCCAAGCAGTTCTCTCCCAACAAAAAATAATGTGTTTCAAAACGGATTCATTGTGCTGCTCTACTAAATACACGCTCACCTTTAAAACATGGTTCCGAATCCTTGCATTTCTCAGGATTCCCACATTCTTCCCTAAGGAGACTAATTACACAATGTAAATTTTCCATGTATATTTGATTGATCTGGAACTTTAAGGCCAATAAATGTCTACTTCATTTTAAAGATTTATTAAGGGATTGTTCTACTGCCACTGCTGCTGGAGACAGCTCACTTTAAGCGTTCATGACCATTTTAAACAAAACTACTTTACTTTCCTCTGTTTGATATATTCCTTGATAAGTTTGACAGCAGTGAAGGACAAAAAAACCAAACCCACAACATAAAAAAATTTCACATCTCAGTTTTTCCTTTAAAGTTTTATTAGTATCACAATTATCATTTAAAGAAACAAGTTGACTAGCATTAGTGGTCCATAGCCAGTAGAAGAGCAACGCTTCAAAACCCGGGAAGAGCCCCCCCCGGCACCTAGGATGTGTTCAGGTTCATACATGCTTCCCACCAGGACACTCTGAAGGGAAGATTAGTAAGAATTCTGGCGTTGTAGGAATTGGGCATTGTAAATATGGTCAGTAATTAATGTAACAGAGTAAGGAAACAGTCTACAACAGAGGAGAGGAACCTGCAGAATCTGCACGGTGCTTCTCCAGCTGCTAACGCCAATGAAGAAGCAACACCTGGTTTGAGCCGTGTATCATTTCAGAGGGAGGTGGGTTTTGGTGAAAGCCACTGTGGCTCTGCAGCGATGGTGTAGCCTCATTTAAGCTATTACTAAAACTGTAAAATTGTCTTTTGCATTTTCCACAACTATTCCATTGAAATTACTTAGAAATAAATCTGAAGAGTTGGAAAAGATAAACAACCATGACAGAAAGTGAATCCTGGCTGCCGCCTCTTAAAATACCACCTGTCCCCTGAGCTCAGCTTTGCTACCAAAAGCAGGGCTGGGGCAGAGAGAGAGGAGGTACAAACTAGATGCATCCTGCCCGCTGCTTTCCTAGACAGCGACAAGGGCTATTAGAGAAAGGGACTTTGTTTTCAAGCTTCTTACCTGTGCTGTCACACAAAACCAAAAAGGGTACCGCCTGCCAAGAGAAATAGTTGACAGTGCCCTTTTCCGCGTGGCCAGTGCAAACCTGGCCTTACCTGGCAGATGGCAATCACCTGCTGCTCTGCAGAGTCACCGGCTCTGAAATTTGATTAACCATCAATGTAAACCTAAATACCAAAGATGAACAAGGAGTTGTAGGGGAACAGCAGTAATTAAAAAGCCGTAATTAATCCCTGGAAGTACAATCTCCTGACACAAGCAGCCAGTTTTTACATTTCCAGGCTGCACAGCAGGTTTCTCTGGCTCAAGGGCCATATCCTTGGGTACGGTTCCACTAACCGAGTAATCTTGTTCACCAGCTTTGTGTCAGTTTTAGCTGTCCTTGTTCCTTTCTCCAGTGATCCCATCAAACATCAGGGTGTGAATTTCTTCAGGAAAGTGGATAACAGACACCAACATACCCTGAACCATCAAACTGCTCACCAGAGAACTGACTCCAGACAGCCCCACTGACAGCATCAGGCCACAACTTCTCAGAGATAACAAAGTCCTCTTACTACAGCTCCCAGCATGTTTATTTTAATAGGTTATTTTTACATAGGGAGAGAAAAGATCCATAAACAATTTATAAAAATTCATGCTTTTCTGTCAAGTTGCTGCAGTGAGCAAAGCCAGGAAAGAACAGTTGCCCCTAAACATCAAGTTAAGGACACTCGGGCACAAACTGCAGCCTCCTGAGACCTGTAAACCCCAGGGACTACAAAGCAAAGCAGCTGGCTAAGGAGAAAAACTAGCAGAAGGGGCCAGCAGTCATTTCTGCAGCTGGTGGCAGAAGAACAGCACATGCACGCAGATCTTCCTACCCCATAAGCAAGCCACAACATCTGCATTATTGGTACATGTTCTCTCCTACTTACGCCAAGTGGTTATCTTTGCAGAAACCCCTTCTTACGCCTGGCAAGCGCAGATGGTTATTATCATGCTATGGCTATGTTAAACACAGCGCTTACGGTTCAAGCAAGACGGCTGCAGATATAACAACAAATAAAAACCTTAAGTTTTGGGAAGGAGAAAATGGTCCTGTAGCAGAAGAGGCTGAAAACAAATCTCTTGGACTGTCTCCTCTGCTGAAAGGTACAGAGTGAACCTACAGTGTCCTATTCACTTACTGCTGTGGAACTCCTGGCTAGCAGGAAGCAAAAATAAAGAACACCCCCAAACAAACAGATCCAGTTAACATGTTTTTCAGAGGCTGCATTCAAGCACGAGAGATGGGGGAAGCACTCTGGAGCTGACAGAACGCTAACAGTCCATACAGAAATAGGAGAATCGTTCACACTTCCTTCACACACGTATTTACTTTCTGGAAAGGGTAAACATCAATCAGTGCAACTTGTTTATAATGTAAGTCAAAGGGATAACAGCTAAAAATGCTAGTACTGATCATCCTGGGTAACAGCTAAAGTCTGCAGGCAGCCTGGGCTCTTGCTATGCACATGCAGTGCGGCCAACAGGCTTGCTCACAACCTGCCCCGCTCGTCCCGTGACCTCACACGCGTTATTTGTCCCAGACACCGTCCCCCCCACGCATCCACCCACCCAAACCACTCACTTGGAGGCTCTGACTCACCTCAGGGTACAGCAGACAAAAAAAAGCTTAAGCTCACATGCGCTTCTGCCTCCTGAGACATGAGCTTGGCCCAAATCTACCGCCCTATAACCCCCCAAGCGTTGCACCGCTCAGACAAGCCCATGCAAGTCCCTTCCATGAAGGGCTTGATCTGGATTGCTGGACAGGCAGGCACCTGACAAAGAGTAGAGGCATACAGGTGACTTCAGGTAGGCAATGCAACGCACCAAGAGTCAATAATGATGGACGTTATGCCCCAAATTGCCTGCTGAGTCCGCAGACTCAGCGTAGCCGAGCTAAGTGCATGCAGCCCCTGCTTACCTCCTGGTGCCATTCCAGGGAATTTGGGGATTAGGGTGCAGCTGAGCCCAATTGGTCTAAACCAGTTCTGCCTCTGAGCCACGAGTCCTGCCGCTTCCCTTGTGCTGGCCCTACTCACTGGCCATGGGGACACTGATCCGACTGACTCTTCACCTCGTGAAGAGCAAACAAGCCAGTACCACTGACTCCGCGATCGCTACAGCCACTGAAAAAGTTGGGAACAGGCAGCCAGGAGGAAAAAGGAGTGACCTCGTCAGCAATTGAAGCCAATTGTGAAATCCTGAATCCAAACACTTAAAAAAAAATATATATATATACACACACACACATATAGCAAGAGTGCTAAAATGTATCTTCCAGCAAGAATTAGGTCAGCTTGAAGGCAATTCTACGAACAAAACAGCCCTTCTGAGGACTTGGGGAACAAGGTAGCAAAATTACAGAAACTGACCCAAATTAGCCATGAGGAAAGGCTGGGGGCAACGGGCCAAAACAGGGAGTAAACATGAAAATCCACATAAGCTGAAGACACGAGCAATCCATCAGGGGAGAACTGCTGTACTTCCATGTGTAAACAGAAGACGTGTCTACGTTTAAATGTGCTAGTTTGAACTAATAAGAACATAGTAACATATAGCAGAGGACCATTATGCAGAACCAGAAATGTATTTTAAAAAAGAAGTAGAGAGTGAGTAGGATACCAGAGGACCAGTGAAATCAAGTGATGAATCTCATCTCTAGGCTCAGCGTATGGTGTTATCTTGGCGTTACCATTCAATGACAGCAGGCATCCTCCTTGGGCAAAGAGGTCCATCCAGAACGCAACACCCTTGCCTAAAGCAAGTTTCAGCACACCTCCAAAACCATCGCATGGAATGCAAGTCCTCATGCACCAAGTTTCTAAACCAGGATTTAAAAAGACCCAACAGCCCCAGTTGGAACGAGAACTGCGTAGGGTCTTCTGGGAGGTGTCAATTTAGCCTCAGATAAGAGGTAACAG